TGAGGGGGAGTGCAGAATGGAGACGAAAGCCCATCTGTAGACAATTGGACATCCCCTTACAGAAGGGTCACAAGGAAGATATGCAGTCAGGGTGTGGTCAGGGTGCAGTCTAGCATCAATGAAACATACAACTTTCCTCTGATTAGTGGTTCTCAACTTTCCTAATGCCATGACCCTTTAATACAGTTCCTCATCTTGTGGTGACCCCCAACTATAAAATTATTTTTGTTGCTACTTCATAATTGTAATTTTTCTACTCTTATGAATCGGGCGAACCCTGTGAAAGGGCCATTAGACACCCCGCCCAAAGGGGTCGTGACCCACAGATTGAGAACCACTGCTCTAGTTCTTTAATGCTTCCTCCTCACCACCCCCTTAGCATGACCCCAATTCTACCTTACAAATCCAGCTAGACCAGAGCATAGCATGTACACTGGTACAGATAGGAGCTCACAACACAGGCAATCCAGGACAGATAAACCCCTCAGGTCCAATAATGAGAGTTGTGATACCAGGAGGGTAAGGGTAAGGTGGGAGGAGAAAGAGGAACCAATCACAATGACCTTCATATAACCCCCTCCCTAGGGAATGGACAACAGACTAGTGGGAGAAGGAAGACATCGGTCAGTTTAAGACAAGAAAATTTTCTTTTTTATTTTCAAGTGTTCATGTGGGGTGAGGGGTGGGCAGGGAATGAAGAGCTGATACGAAGTGCTCAAGTAGGAAGATGTTTTGAAAATAATGATGGCAACATATTCACAAATATGCTTAACACAATGGATGGATGGATGGAGTGTGAAAAGAGCTGTATGAGCTCCCAATAAAAGTATTAATAAATAAATAAATAGATAGATAAATAAAAGACTTCTGCTCATTGAAAGGCTTTATTAAAAAAGTAAAAAGAGAGCCCACAGGCTGGGAATATATACTTAGTAATCACATAGAAGACAAAGAACTAATTTACTAAAATCTACACAATTTTATAAGCTTCCAACAAGATACAAACGTATAGCCCTCTGAGAAGGTGGGGAAAATATCTGAACAGACAATTCGGAAAAAATGACTCTCGAATGGCTAATAAACACATAAGGAAATGCTCCCAGTCACTAGCCATCTGGGATATGAAAATCAAAACAACAATGAGATATCACCTAACACCCACTACTGTGGCCCAGTTTAAAAAGCAAACAAAACTGAGAACATCATATGTTGGAGAGTGTGACAGCATAGGAACTCTTATCCATTGTTGGTGGACTTGTAAATATGTATAGCTACTATGGAAGGCAATATGGTGATACCTGACCCAGCAACACCATTACTGGGCATCTACCCAAAAGAAATAAGAAACAGAACAGGAGCAGACGTTTGTTCCCCCATATTCATCACAGCACAGTTCACAATAACAAGAAGCTGGAAATGGGCTAAATTCCCATCAATAGAAGAATGAATTAAAAACTGGTACATAAACACAGTGGATTACTACGCATCTCTGAAAAATAGCAATGAAACCATGAAACACCTCAGCTCATGGAAGGATCTTTGTGATAGGTAGATTTATTGTGCCAACGTGGCCAATAGGAACATTTGGGATTAATAAGGTCAAATTTTGATTGGAAGACAAAGAGATAAATGGCTCGGTAAGCCCAGCCTGTCTCTCTCTTGCTCTCTGGTGATCGTACCAGTGTATGGCGCATTAGCAAGTTCTCTGCCTCAACTTGCAAGCTACACTACCTGTGGGACACACAACCTGTGGAACGTGTTGTTAGAGCTTGAGTTTCCTTCAAGACATGCTTCACCACGCTGCTGGTGTATACTTCGCTTGAGCTTGGGACTGTTTGATTCTGTCATCTGTCTGACTGTTGGTGACCCACCCTGCTGCTTGCTGCCTCTGGCCAGATTACCTGCACTGTTGTATGGAAGACTCAGCTGTCTGCTTCCTTGACCTTGGACTAAGCAGGCCTCGTGAGTCGAAGGACTACCAGTATATTAACTGTTTCACGGAAGTGCGTTGAACTGAGCCCTCTGTATTTCTGTGTGGACTTATTAGCTGTTATATTCCTGTGTGTGTGTGTGTGTGTGTGTGTGTGTGTGTGTGTGTATTGTAAGTGTCCTGGTTTTGTTTATCCAGGGAACCCTGTCTAACACAATCTGGAAGCCATTATGCTGAGTGAAGTTAGTTAAGCCCCCAAAGTGGCTTAACTACTCTATGAGTCCACTGCGGTAGGAACAAGCAGCAGAATGGGCACAAACTCAAGCTTGCAGGCAATCCAGTCTTCTGACTGGGTAACAGACAGCCTGGTAAAGAGTTGGATCAGTGACAATGAACCACACACCATTTGCTCTAGGTAAGTATAGTGTAGGTCACTTGGCCAGAGGGTACCTCACGACAGCTGGGATCAAATGGTGGAGGGCAGGGAGGTGTTGTCAGCTGAATGGTAGTCATGTGTATCTGGGGTGAGGTCCTCTGGAGGGGTGGTAGCACTGTCAAAGGGATGAGTCTTACTGATGAGAGGGTGTGGTAGTTACATAAGCTCTTGTTAACTTGAGGGTGTCATGAGTGAAGGGGTGGAGTCTAAGCTGTCAATCAGGTCATAGCCAATGATGCCTCTGTGTGTACGTGACCCCCCTAATGAGGATTCTGGGATCTTTCTCTTTTTCTCCTGGGAGGCAGACCACATTGTCTCTGTTTCACTTTCTTGTTGACAAGCCACAGCCTTGGAGATCATCCACTGCCATTGGACCCACAGGACTTTCCACCCACCAGCCTGTGATCTTCCTGCATTTGGCATCATTGCATGTGCTGCGTGAATTAAAGAGGAATTCATGGGGTAATACCGGAATTATGGGCTAATATTGGACTTATGGGATAAAACAGAGGGGCAGTGCAGAAGTAGGGAGAGGGAATGATCAAGTTATGGGGGGACATATGTGCATGTCTTTTGAAGGGAGGGGAGGAATGGCTGACTTCCAGGTGGGGGGACGAGAGACTGAGTATGCTCTTGGGAACTTTAGGTGGGGAGGGTCTGTAGTGGTGTGCAGCTGGTGAGCTGAAATGACACAGAGCATCTGGGAGTCTCCAGGGAACCAAGTATGGGTGCTGTAGAGCACTGGGACACTGAATTCTGCATCTTTAGGATGTATGGCATGATCCAGAAGCTACATCTGTGAGACCCCATACAGGAACCACACTTGGTGAACTAGACACACTTGTAACCTGAAGACTTAAACTAGAAAACACATTGGTGTCTGAGGAAACAGAAGACAGCTGTACCAAGAGTGATGTTGGTTGGTGGACAAACAATATCTTGCTACATTAACGTCCTATAGGCCATATTAAGAGACATATTATTCTGGCAATCTTGTGATGGCCATTCCGTTATATTTTGCTTATGCTGGTGTGTATTAGGGTATATCTCAGAGGTGCACCACCATTCAAGATCACCCTCTTGAAGCTGTGTTATTTGGTTTACTGTTTCTCAGTAAATAAAACCCAGGGACATTAATATTATACGGAATGAAAACAAAACAAGGGTTTGGAGGGAGGGGCAAAACATGGGAGTGGGTGAGATAAGAAGGAGATGGTGTCAAAAAGCCCAGGAAGGAAAAGTATGTTTGGAGACTATGGAAGTAATTGTACAATTATGTTTAACATGATTAAACCATGGAATGATATGACATGTATTAATTCCCAAGTCACAGCAAATTAAAAATTGAAAAAAAGCCTAGATCCAGGAATGAGTTCTGGGCACACACTAAATCCTAGTTCCAACAATTAGTTCTTATATCATGGCCCTGCTCTACACTCACCTTTATGGAATGATTAATGAAGATAAGTGTGCTACAGAAAAGTGTGGCGGAAAGATGGTGCCCAGCTATCAATCGGAATAATGTCTGGGATGTTGTATTCAAACAAACAGCCATCTAAGTGAGGAGTCAACCAAGTCCACACAGAAGGGGCATTCCAGCTTGTGTGATCCAAAGACAACAAATACAAAATTCAAATATGGTGAAGAGAAAAGTATCAGGGCAAGAATTATGAACACCCAATTTATGGAAGGTTATGGAGGACAGTGGGAGCCCCAAACCAAGCTGTAGAGTATCTAGTCAGACTGAGCCACTGGAAGGTACTCTCTAGCCAAGGGCAATGGTCCAGAACAGCCTTACTATCAGGCAGAGACCACTGTAATCTTGATTGTGCTGAAGCAAACACTGTACTTAGCCAGTTGACCCCCCCCCCTAAAGACACGATTTGAAATTGTTCTGAATGCAAGTATCTCTTAGTTGTTCCATGACAGAAATGTCTTCCCTGACTTTTTGAATGTTTACTGGGGTCTTCTCCCTCTCACACATTATTTTTATTTTGTCTTTACACTAATATGATCTTATCCTTACCATCTTAGTGTGGTTTGTTTTTTTTATTGTTTTCTGTTGGGTTTCCCAGCTGTAAAGTACAGGAGCAGTGGATGTACAATGATAATAACTGATATAAGATGTTATAAGGAATGCAGTGGTGGGTATGGACAACATGGAGGGTAAGGGATTTGGGAGTGGATAATGAGAGATGAAGGGTAGAGTGAGAACTAGAATGGATTGTGACTGGAAAATTCAATTTGAAGGTAATTTAACCATAGGGGAGGGGTGTGCTCTAAGATAGATATAGTGGTGATTGTACAATTCCCTTGATATGGTTGAAGACTGGAAACACTCAATTGTATGATATGTAAATTATGTGCCAATAAAACTGTTGGGGGTAAAAAAAGACAAACGTGAAAACAGAGCTTTCAGTGGAAATGGAAGGATCTTTCCTTCTTGGAACACCATTCTCACTACTGAAAGTCAAAGTAGACACCTGCCTATATTCTGAGCTAGGTGTTCAATAGACCACCCAGTCAAAAATACAACCCTATAAGCCTGAATCTTCCACCTCGGAAATGTTATGCTTCTAAGCAAGTTCTGATTAAAGAATGAATTCCAAACGCAACAAAGGGATGAGCACTTACCTTCTTATTGAGTTTTAGCCAAGTGGAAAAACCCTTAGTGTCCTGGTACTGCAGACCGAAGAACCAAACTTCCCTCAAGCCAATAGTTTTGACTACCTGTAAGCGAAAATACAAACAACCATGGATTGAATGTCAGCCACATGCCAGGCACAGAGGATACAAAAGTAAAGCCAATGTGATCCTTGTCCTCAGAGTACTTATAAAGTGTTCAGGGTCTGGCAAGAAAATATATATAGTCAGCATCTAAAAACATGCCAAGAGATCAGAATCTCTCAGCCCTTCTGGTAAGGCAGATATGGCATCTATATAACATACATGCAATACTACATACCAAGAAATTTACATCTATTTTTTCCTGTTTTACTTGGCAGTACCTCGATGTAGTACCCAAGGGACCCCTGATGTTACAAGCCTCCTGGCTGAACAGTATGCAGTAAAGGAGATAAAAGATGGAGTCTGTTCTCCAGCTCATGGCATTAGTATGCTAATGGCTCCAACTGATGGTTCAGCCCCAGCATACCCACCACTGGGGAATAGTATCAGTTGTACTGAGTCACATCCTAATGACATCATGCTGCCAGCAGTCTTTATTTTTTCTTTTATGGGGTTGGGCATGGGATGGTAGAGTGAGTTGGATAGGGAATTTAAGAAAGTTACCTTGAGAGAGAAACAAGAAACAAAAAATCTAGTGTTGCTGATATCCTTCCTGTAAAGAAACCAAGATCTCCCCTCCCCTCAACACATATAAACAGCCACAAAGTCACTGCTATGCATTCAAAGCCTGTCTACATAGTCAAGCCCAGAGCATAAAATCTATAGCTCTAGAAATCCACAAGGAAAAGTAGCTCATATTTATTAAGCATTTATTTTTCCCCATTTAAATCTAAAAACCATAAACCTTAGACTGGACCCCTAATGTAACTAACTCCAAAGTCTAAACATTTTCTACTGTAGCATACCACCTCCTAATACCAAGGGCTCACAGGAGCTTGGGACACACCCAACGTTGTTGAGTGATTGATTGCCTCTGTTTTTTTTGGTACAGATGTCCAAGTCAGATAACAAACTTTGATCACTTCTGCATCTAGATATGATTTCTGACTTTCCCACTACGCGCAGTCAATAACCACTTTGGGGAGAAGCTATATCCCCAAATAAACAGCCCTCACTTCTCACTGGGTACATGCACGTCAATTTCACAGACTGAAGCAGATATAGAAAACCTGAGTTTGTCTCAAATTTATCTCCATTTTTCTGTGTGATATTGAGGCAGTGTCTTTCTTGGTTTGAACTTCTCCATTTATCCAAAGTAGAAGTGTAGCTTAGATGGTGCCTTTCTTTTCTCAAGTTCTATCATCCTACTACTAATTATGTTATAAGGCTACTTTTCCTACCTACCTCTTGCTGACCTAGGTAATGAAGGAAAAATTCTTCTTGGATTAAATTCAGTCTAAGGGAGAGTGACCTACTGAAGATGCTCAAGGTAAGATGGACCGTTAATTCCAGAATGTAGTAATTTCTCAGAGTGGAATGGTGAGGACCCTAGTCACTAGAGCTGATCAAATGGTTCCCAGCACCCTGGGGGCCTTAAGTGGAGATTTCTTTTTAGTCCGCACTTAGAAGTCATCTTTTGCTCTTTGTTCTTTTCACGGGTGATGGAGGTAGGATAGACTGGAAATAGAACTGGTAGAATAGCAACTGCCCTTTGACTGTGCCAAAAGCCAAGTTATAGAGGCTCAAAAACAGTAGGACTAACTAGGCAGCCAGTCCCAACGATCCCAAGAATGAGTTCCTTGGCCTTTTCGCAAGTTGTCTATTTCAGTAGTGACATTGGGGGGAGTGTGATGAAAGGAGGATGATTATGAAAATAAATGTAGTTTTAGGATCCAGAACAGCACTAAGAAGTTGGTAATAGCTAAGTCAACCTGTTAAAAAGATATTTCAGCATCAGTGGGGAATTTTAACCTCTACAAGCACTATGCCTTCCTTTGTGATCATAGACAATGTAGATACATATAAATTTTCTACTCTAAAAAGTTCCAGGACTTGGAGAGATGAGCAATGTCTCTCAATATCCATTGGGGTATCAAAGAGAGAATATATGGTCTGAGATCACAGTTCACACCACATAAGAACAAAGGCCAAATGATAACCTCTAAGTCCAGACTATAAAGAAATCTCCACTTAAGGCCCCGGGGTGCAGGGAACCATTTGATCAGGCAACTTTTGATCCCATTTCTAAGGCCCAGGTCCTCTGACTTTGCTTCTACTAAGACTCCAGAGGAAAGAAAAACCTTATTTTCAAGTAGGAGAAAGCATCTCGCTCCTGGTTCTGGAGACAGCCACTATGGTTCTAGTGGCAAGGGTCTTCACCATTCCACTCTGAGAAATCGCTATATCCTTAAGGGGACTAAAAACAAAAACTGAAAACCTTTCTTGGCTCCCTATGATCTCAAGCTGATGGCTCATTTTGTCCAAGAAAGTATTCTCAAAGTTATTCAAGGGAAAACAAATCCATAAGTACAAGAAATAGTGAATGCATAATACTCATGGGGAGGAGGTAGAAGTTGGAGAGATAATAATTAGATGGCTGTGCCCCAGAATCTCTTTGAGATCACAAGTTTGATCTTGATCCTTCGTGCAACTTTCACATTCTACTCCAAAGATAATCTATGATTTAATAATGAGATAGGTAGTATCTGCGGGTAAAATTGATGTTCCAAGATATTGAGTGACATTTATTCTATAGCTTTTTGTGTCACCTAGAACTTTCCATATATACTTCAAGAAACTCAGACTTTAGTTTGTAAGACACTGGTTTAAAGACTGTGTGTTCTACTCAGTTCCACAATCAAACCTGAGAATTGTGGAGAGTTATAGAGTGTAAGTAACATAAACTAGAAAACTGGGATCCAGTAAGGTGAAATGAGAAAATCTTCACTAATTATTAAGAGTTTCTGTATATAAGAAAGAGTTTCTTTACCTATATTCCACATGTGGAACCTATTAAATAGGGGGGTACGTGAGTGAGTGGAAGGAAAGCAGGTTAGTTCTGGAATGCAAAGCCCCCTCTCTGTATCCCCCAAGCATATAGCTGAGTAAATAACTAGTGACATCAGTCACTTAAAAAGTCTAGAGCAGAATTGAGAAGCAAGGTTGGAGCCTCAAGAAGAAAATTTCATGAGAAATTCTGTATAATTTTGTCAATGCACAAAAACACCTGGGGCCCCATGAGATCCCATTTCAGGCTTAGCAGCAAGTGTCAGCTACTCACTGCAAGCATATTCATACAAGATTGGAAATGGACGAAATACTCTACAAGGGACAACCACAATTGCTCTTTCTGCTACTCTACAATGCCTGTGTTCAAGTACCCACAGCCAGTTCAATTGGGGTTCTAAGTTTAGTGATCAAACTTTCCACCACTCAGTACAGGAGCAAGCAAAGGGGCACAAGTAGCACAAGTTACAGTGAGGAATGCCAATTAAATGGCCTAGTTCAGATACCAAGGCTTAAGATACTATATTAATAATAACAAATACTAGTTATTTTTAAGAGATGGAGTTTGCTATCCTCAGAGTCCACAAGTCATAAGTACTTTCTTTACTAAGTCAACAAAGCCTCCTCATTTCATGGTTCCCTCATTTGAATTCCCAGGGTAATTTGCACCTGCTTCTTCAACCCTTAATAGGGATAAGGAATAAAATGACTGTCATGACATGATGCTCTCTCACTTACCCACAGCACTATAGGGGTCTGAAGACAAAGTGCAGGAATTGTGCCTGCTCAAATCCAAAGGAAGAGCAACAGAGCAGCAAAGGGAGCAAAGCAAAGCAATGAACACCCCAAGGAATCCCAAAAATAGACCAGAATTGGAGGGCAGGGCTTGACACCTCACCAGACCCGACTAGAAAACATTCATAAGGGTCAGCAGACAGACCTGGAACTATTTATGGGCGTTCTTTTTTCCTCCCCCACCCCCATGTCTATCCATATAAGATAGGCAGGATAAACAATTCTGAGGAGAAAACAACTGGCCAACGGCTCTGGGGGAATATGGGAGAGAAGGTAGGAGAAAGGAAGTGGGGAGACAACAAACCCAGGGAGAATGGAACAAGAATGTATCTAAACATGATGGCGAGGAGGGCGCAGAATGCCTGGTGGGGTGTGAGCAAGTGCAATGTGCCGGGAGGAAATACTGAGAGCGAAATGAAGGTTGGACATGATAGTGGGATAGGGAGAAACTAAAAGAAAATAAAGAACTAGAGTGCAAAAGACATTTTAGAGGTATAAATATAAGCATATACATATGTAAATATATTAATATGTAATGAAAGAAATATAGGTCTAATATATATTTATGTTTTAAGCATTAAAATAGCAGATGGACATTGGGCCTCTACTCAAGTCCTCCCGCAATGCAAGAACACTTTGTTCTAATAACCCGGCATTCTGTGATGCTCACTTTCCCCACACAAACAATCGCTGAAGACAAAAAGGGTGCATGAGCAAATGTGGTGAAGAAAGCTGATGGTGCCCGGCTATTGAAAGATATAGCATTTGCGGTCTTAAAGGCGAGAAGTTAAACAAGCAGCCATCTAGCAGGGAAGCAACAAAGCCCACATGGAAGAAGCACATCAGCCTGTGTATTCGTCTAGGTACTTTGGAGAAACAAATCCACAGCAACTCACGTATAAGAGAGAGTTTTATGCAAAGAAAATGTGCATCACGAAAACATC